AAGAGGGAGGGGAGGGGAAGGTTAGGATATTTGTACGATCATGTTTGAACTACCCAAGCAATTTTCTAAAGATATAAATCTTTATTGCCTTTTGTTTTCATTTCTTTGATGTGATTGCATGTAATGGTCTCTAAGTCCAAATTTGATAATTTTCATGCAACATTATTTTCATTACTTTAACTAACATGTATTTTTACTGTTAAGTTGATATAAAAACTAATTTAAATTAAATTTAATACAATTACAATTATCACAATCGTCATACTGACGAGATCCAATTGTGGTAATGGTAAGAAATGTATACGACTTAATGGGATCGGAGCATTTCTTACCATTATTATAATTTTATTATTTTTGCTAATTGCTTAATATTACCTTCTTTTTTATTCTTATTTCAAAATACGTTTCTGTTTCAGCAATTAATCTCTTTGATTTTTCAGAAAATCGCCAACGGTCGAAGTTGAAGAAGCAAAACCTAATACGGGCCAAACGTCTCCCCCTGTGTTAGTTCATATTTCTACATTATATTATTATTTTTTGTCTTGCAATTCGAGCGGATTGTACTTTTTTAAGCTTTTTTTGATAGATCGATCAGCTGCTACTTCACTTTAGCGACTTCAGGCTGCTTAAATTTAATACAGTTACAGTTACCACAGTCGTCATACTGGCGAGGTCCAGTTGTGGTAATGGTAAGAAACGTATACGACTTAATGAACCGGAACATTTCTTACAACGAGGGTTTTTTGATTTACCCTTTTTTCTAATAAGTAAATAGTTCGTGGAAATTTTTCAGCACTGAACCAGAAGTGCCTTTGAAGAAGGATCCGGGAAGTGTCTCGAACGGATTTGCTCGAATTCGTGGTCACGCAAAAACAAATTCGCTGGATCGCGGGCTGAGTTTAGCCAAAAGCATGAAAACAGGCCCCTTTCCTCCGCCTGGAAACAAAAGCAGCTCGCTGAAACGGGAATGCTCGGTTGATTCGCCGTGTAGCTCATCCTATCTGTCATTTGACGGAGGCGAAGAAGATCTGCGAAACAGCGATGCGCAAGGCGTTATCCGGCAGATCACCTCTTCGATCCTGAACGAACCGTTGAAGTAAGTCAGCATTTTAGCTGTTTTTTACGCCTTTTTGCTTGAATGAAAATGCACCGTAGCGAAATCTTGTTGTGTATGTGTGTGTGTGTGTGTGTGTATGTGTATGTGTATGTATATATTATGTACGTGCTCATGTGTGTATATATGTATGTATATATGTATGTATGCATGCATGTATGTACTTATGTATGTCTATATATGTATGTGTGTATGTAATGTGTATATGTATGTATGTATATATGTATGTATGTATGTATGCGTGTACTTATGTATGTTTATATATGCATGTGTGTATGTAATGTGTGTATGTATGTATGTATGTGTGTTTGTATGTATGTATGTATGTATGTATTTATGTATGTATGTATGTATGTATGTGTGTATGTATGTGTACGTATATGTATATAGGTATTTATGGTAAAGGGCAAAAAATCGTTTTTGGGCCTTCGGAAAGAGGCAAATTTCGTCGGCTTTATTGAAAACTGAATATGTCCGCCAAAAAAATGAATAATTCTTGTTGGATTGAGTGATACCTTTCTGTAAAAAGCCTCAGCACTGGATGCTTTGGCAATATTCTTCTGAAATTTAGGGAGGAATCGTCGGCGTCCGAATCTCCACTGCGCGTTCCGCCCAGTGAATGTATAGCTTTGATTGGAGAATCCGCTGCTGTTCCTTCTTCATCTGCTTCCGCGGCCGGAAAGACAACTACAGGCGAAGACAAGCGGGGCGATGATGTTGCTGAGAGTGCATACAAAATACAGATCAAAATTCCCACTGCTATAGCTGACTCGAAAATAGTAAGTGCATTTTGCTCTAGAATTCCTTCATTTTTCCTCTTTATCG